TGTCTCCCAAGCACTGGGATTTTAAGTGGGAGCCATCATGCCCAGCTTATACATTCCTTCTTTAAAAGCCTCCGCCAACCTTATATCTCTGTATGACGTGAAGGTGAGGAGAATATTTAATGTCTTCATTCTTATGTCCCTACACTTGGCTTAACAAGTGGACCAGAGCAAAGTCCCTCCCAAATTTGTTGTAACCAATGCGTGAGCCACACAGCTACATGTCTGGGATGTATCTGGAGGGACATCCCACCAAAGCTGGAGGAGACAGCAGATGATATTTGGCTCAACCTTCTGACCTTGGAAATAAGAGACTTGGCCAGGCCACACAGCAGTGGTGGAAGGACCTTATTGCCCTAGATAGTTCTTCCTACCCTAGCATCCATGCACCTCCCTTTACTTGGGATGCTGGGAACAGCAGAAGCCAGACCATGGTGTTATGGCTAGGCAGATGTTTCTAACCCGAAGCTACTCCTGGAGGATCCAGGGACTGCATCTGGTGAGTAGGCCTCTCTTCTTCCTGCCTACCATCTTTGGGTGGAGGTGGTAATCACCGTTGGTTCCTTCCCCAGGCGCCCTGAAGTCACCATGATGTGGCCCTCACCACCCACCTTCTCTCTGTTCCTGCTACTGCTGCTAAGCCAAGCCCCTTCCAGCAGCCCACAGCCATCAGGCACCAAGAAGCTCAGGCTTGTGGGTCCGGCGGACAGGCCAGAGGAAGGCCGCTTGGAGGTGCTATACCAGGGCCAGTGGGGCACAGTGTGTGATGACGACTTTGCTCTCCAGGAGGCTACAGTGGCCTGCCGACAGCTGGGCTTTGAGTCAGCCTTGACCTGGGCACACAGTGCCAAGTATGGTCAAGGAGAGGGTAAGTGACCAGGACACACTGCAGCACAAGATGCAAGGACACAGGAGCCAGCTTCTTTCTCTTAGGACTGGGCTCATTGAGGCGCCAACAGAACTTTCTAGAAGCCTACCCAACCTTTCATGACCAGGTCAAATGGCCTCTTGAAGGCACTTCCTGGGTTTAGCTGCAGATGACCTCTGCTTTGACCTTCCCATTCTTGCTTGGAATGAGATCACCAGCCTTACCGAGTCTAACTTCTCTGGGCATAGTGATTTGCACGTAGTGAAGACTTAGGAAGTAACTGATGGAAAGAATAGTAGACAGATGGGCTAGTGATCAGTCACTAGTTCTACCTGCCACTTTCCAGAAACAGTTTCTGTGGACCTGACACCAAGAGGGACCAGTGGGCAGGGGAATGGACACCAAGACCCCAGAGAACCAACTGCCTTCCTTTCCTTTGCTCCTCAGTGCTTGACAGTGTAGTGTCCCATCAGAGAGAAAGCAGTCTCTCTCCTCACCCTTGAGCTCATCTTCCCTCCCCCACAGGCCCCATCTGGCTGGACAATGTTCGTTGTTTGGGCACTGAAAAGACCCTAGATCAGTGTGGCTCTAACGGCTGGGGTGTCAGTGACTGCAGACACTCAGAAGATGTTGGGGTGGTATGCCATCCACAGCGCCAGCACGGTTATCACTCTGAGAAGGTCTCCAATGCCCTCGGGCCCCAGGTGAGGCGGCTGTCTAGACCCTGTCTTGAGTTGAGGGCTGGATGGGGCAGATAGCCTCCTGCAGAGTGAACCAGGAGGAAGAAGAAGCCATTCATGGAGAGCCAGTTAGGGGACCAGATGCTGGGCCTGGTGGGACCTGAGAAGCTGGTCCCCATGAAGGAGGTAGACGTGGGACCAAGGGGCTGCTTCAGCCACAAGGCTTGGCCACAATTGCTGCCTCTTCCTAGCACAAACAACCCCAAGCTAAAAACAGCTCAAGCCAAACAACAGTAATGGGCAGGGCAGAGAGCTGCCTCCCACCCTCTGCTTGCCAGGCAGCCTCTGCCTGAGGACAGCTGGCCTTGGCACACTGGATCTGCAATGGACTGCTTTGGGGGCTCCATACAGGTTTATGTTACCCAGGGATGGGGTGGTGGGTCTTGAGGAACCAGGAAAACAGGTTGGTTTCACACAACTGTTCTTGAGCATTTCAGTTCTTTTCAGGGTGGTACAAAGAAGACACCTCCACCCATGCCCAACAAACAGCCTCGTCCTCCAAGGACTCCTGTCCTGTTCTTGGTTTGATAGATCCAAGGAGGGAAAGGTTTGATAGAAACCAAGACTTCGGCTTCCATTTTCCCTATCGCCTTCAGCAAATGCCTCCTGCTCTCTGGGGCTGACAGTAAGGGGCAGGAAGGTGATTCTAAGCCTGGCTTTCTCAGGGAAATATGCAGTGGTCTCCAGAGGCCCAGGCCCCCAGCGATATGACCTATGGTGAGGTGACTCTATGCCTTGTAGGGACGGCGGCTAGAAGAGGTGCGGCTCAAACCCATCCTCGCCAGTGCCAAAAGGCACAGCCCAGTGACTGAGGGGGCTGTGGAGGTACGGTATGAGGGCCACTGGAGGCAGGTGTGTGACCAGGGCTGGACCATGAACAACAGCAGGGTTGTGTGCGGGATGCTGGGCTTCCCCAGCCAGGCACCAGTCAACAGCCACTACTACAGGTAGGAAGGGCACGATTGCCAAGTTTTACTGTGTGTTTATGTGTCTGTGTGTACCTGTGTGTGGGTGCATGTGTACATGCGTGTGTATATGGTGTAAACCTTGAAGGGTTGCACGTGCGTGCGGGCAGTACAAACGTGCATGAGCAGTATAAACCTCGCGGAAGGGTTCGGTGAGATTCTGGAGGGACGCATTTCCGTTCACTTGCCTTCATTGTATACCACTATCAGTTCTTTCTATTGGGTTGGCAAGTATGACGTTTACTTTCTGACCACTCCCAGATGATTCTCAAGACCTTTTAGTTCCTACAGTGTGGCCCGTCCGGGGTGGGGCTTGGCTCCATCAGGAACTAGCTCTGGGCCTTGGTTGGGGTACATGGGCCTCAACCACCCTCTGCTGCAACTCGGTGCTGTCTAGGGAACTCCTGCTCTGACCCAACCTGGACTATAATTGGGTCGCATGCAAGCTAGACCTGGGGTGGGGAGTTTGGGTAAAGGAGACATAAAAATACTCTCAGAAATGTGACCAAGCTGTCACAGAAGATCCCATCAGCCCCATAAACAACCACCACAATCCCAGATGTGTCAGCGACAGCCTCAAGCATTTCTCAAGACAACTTAAGGCACCTCTAAGTCATCAAGGCTGCCCCACCCTTACTGGGCTGCCACGCGTCTGTCTTCTAGGCAGTTGCAAGTCCCTTGCCTCTGGCTTAGAAGACTCTGGTTCTGAATAAAGGACATGGTGGGCAGCCACCATTCTGTGGGGATGAAGGGGACATGGTCCTCTGGATTTTCGATACCTAGTAATTGCAAATCAGGCCCTGCTGACTCAGTAGGACAGCCCCGATGACAGCCTGGATGGCAGTCCTCCCAAACCCCCAATAAAGCTCTCAACTTCCACTGGTCCCAAGTCTCTTCTCTCAGGGATCCCCTAAAGATACCTTCATCTGGACTTAGGGGCTCTGGGGAGGGCAAGAATGAGTTCCTTACTCCATGGCAGCCCCAGTGCAGTGGAGACGTTAGGACGAGCTGAGGGGCCTCGCTTGCCTTCCCTGTAAAGTGGAGGAGCAGCCATCACTCTATGTAGGCTGGACAGCCCATCAGGCTGCTGCACATCTCGGCGTTGAAGTAAGAGCTAGGAAAACGTCTATAAGCTATGAAGTCTGCTATAAATGTCTGAACTGAGGAACTGGGGTGGGGCCAGGGAGAGTTCTCGCACCCCTTCACCCTACCTGTTTTCTCTGTCACAGAAAAGTCTGGAATCTGAAGATGAAGGATCCCAAGTCTAGGTGAGGAGTAGTATGTTAGCAGGCAAAGGGGTATGACATGAAGTGCTCTCCCTCCTCCCATGAAGTGCTCCCCTTCTCCCATGAAGTGCTCCCCCCTCCTCTTATCCCTTTTCCCCTTTTCTTTTCCTTCCCATTTCTCCCCTGAGCTCCCTCATCCTCACTCAAACCCTCCTCCATCCATATTTTCTTGTCTTCCAGGCTCAACAGTCTGACAAAAAAGAATTCTTTCTGGATTCACCGGGTTGACTGTTTGGGGACAGAGCCTCACTTGGCCAAGTGCCAGGTACAGGTGGCTCCAGGAAGGGGCAAGCTTCGGCCAGCCTGTCCAGGCGGCATGCACGCTGTGGTCAGCTGTGTGCCAGGGCCCCACTTTCACCGACAGAAGCCAAAGCCGAAGCGCAAGGAGTCCCGAGCAGAGGTCAGCCCCAGCGTCCTGACCAATCTGCAGGTCCAGGTCCCTCACAGCAGTGCCGTGCCCAGTGGGGTAGAGGAGAGGGGAACCCTATGGGGAGGAGGAGCTGGGTCCTTGGAATTGTTTTTTTTTTAAAGGAGGTCATTTATCATCCTCCCATAGATGGAAAGTTGACACCACTTGCTATGGATAGAAGGCAACCGTGAAAAGAGTAATTAAATTGTAGCTGCAATCCATTGAGGGTGAAGGCATTGAACCTGAGCCTGGTCTTTTGTTTAAAAAAGTAGGTGAGAGAATGCTAGTGAGCCTCGCCCCCAACACACACACACACACACACACACACACTTCACACCCCCACATGCTGGTGAAGAAGCAGAGGTCTAGAAAGGGATAGCTGTGAGAAGCCAAAGGCAGAACTGGAATCTGGGCTTTGCCTCTGGTCAGTGTAACTTACAGGAGCCCCACCCTGAGGTCCACCGCTGAAGCCAGTTCTCCCCTCTTTAGCAGGAGCTGAAAGTGCGCCTGCGCTCTGGGGCTCAGTTGGGTGAGGGCCGTGTGGAAGTGCTCATGAACCGCCAGTGGGGCACAGTCTGTGACCACAGGTGGAACCTCATCTCAGCCAGCGTTGTATGTCGCCAGCTTGGCTTTGGCTCTGCCCGGGAGGCCCTTTTTGGGGCCCAGCTGGGCCAAGGTGAGCGAGGAGATCCCGGGTGTGTACAAGGGCCTGGATGAACCACTAGTTCCCTCCCCAGGGAGAGGAAGTCACAGGAGTGGTTTACAGAGGAGCCTCACACAGTACACTCTTCCCTGCAGGGCTAGGGCCCATCCACCTGAGTGAGGTTCGCTGCAGGGGCTATGAGCGGACCCTTGGTGACTGCCTTGCCCTGGAAGGGTCCCAGAATGGTTGTCAACATGCAAACGACGCTGCTGTAAAGTGCAACATCCCAGATATGGGCTTCCAGAACAAGGTGCGTTTAGATCTGAATGTCCTCTGGCAGGGGTCTAGGCTGGCCTGAAGAGCGCCTTTCTCTCTGTGACTTGGTTCTCCCACATATAGTCCCATGGATGGCAGAGGGCCATGGGGTTTCACTGGTATACACACCGGCCCACACATTCAGGTCTTGAGAAAAGCTGAGATAAAAAAAAGTGCATCAAGCCAGTACTACCAGCAAACAGTGCTGGGGAGTGGCTCTGGGGATGGTAGGCAAGTTGCTGGCATTTTGGAAAATAGTGTTGATTCTCTAATGGGATGACAGTCAATAAGATGGCAGATTCAAATTCCCTTGGCAAACTGAGTCACCATTAATAGTGGTAGAGGCTAGGTAGGAGGAGGGAAAGGTCCAGGGCAGAAGCTCCTGCCACAGACAGATTTTTCTAGCAAGTGGAGATATCACACACTAGCTAATGGTCTAAACTCACATTATAGGAGACAGAGGCGGAGTGTCTGGCAGGTCTCCCTGCTTGCCACCCTGGATCCTCCCCTTACTCGCCTCTGACTATTACAGGTGCGCTTGGCTGGTGGGCGCAACCCCGAAGAGGGAGTAGTGGAGGTGCAAGTGGAGGTGAATGGGGTCCCACGCTGGGGGACTGTATGCAGTGACCACTGGGGGCTCACTGAAGCCATGGTGACCTGTCGGCAACTTGGTCTGGGATTTGCCAACTTTGCTATCAAGGTAGGTCCCAGCCATAGCCTCCTGGGCTGGCAGGACTAGAACCTCTGCCAGAGCCACCGGCCATTCATTCATTTATTCATTCGTTCCACACTTACTCAGGAGTGAAGCTATAGGTTGTCACCAACTGGGTGACGAGCACATCTGAGGGAAGGCTGCTGAAATGTGAGAGAAGGCTGCTGAAATGACCTGGTATATAGTTTCACCTGCGGGAACCATGGATTGAAGCTAGCTAGATATGGAGGAAGAAGAAACAGCTCATGTAAAGGCTCGTGGCCAGCCAGAAAGTTTGACTCGGTCAAGGAAACTTGGAGCCAGGGGGTTGCAGTGTGCTCTCCAGGGAGAGGGCTGCAAACTTCAAGGATAAAGGAGGAAGGAGGCAGGGACAAAATCGCTATCTGTGAGCACCTGACAAACCTGTTGAGCTGTGCAAGGGCAGGCCTAGGCTCTGCCCTGGTTGGGATGAGAGGAGCAGCTGGGAATGGTGAGGGGACACACTACCTGATGTGGGAATGAGGGGTCAGGCTTGTCCCTGCTCAAACTGCAGAGCTGCCTTCTTGGACATGAATGGGACAGTGCCACAGGGCACTGGGGCAATAGGTCACTGGGGCAGTAGGGCACTGGGGCAGTAGGGCACTGGGGAAGTAGGGCATTGCCTCAATTACATAGAAACTCTCAATGTCAGAGGGGTCCAAATGTGATAGGGCTGCCCACTAGGTAGGGCTCTCATCAGGGAAGATTTTAAGGCCTGTGCTGGACTTGTTTGAGGGACAGCTGGATGGAGCCCTCAGAACAACTTGCATTGTGGCACTTCTCAGCTCTGATGGGACACACTGTCTTCCTAGGACACCTGGTACTGGCAAGGGACACCAGAGGCCAAAGAAGTGGTGATGAGTGGAGTTCGCTGCTCAGGCACAGAGATGGCCCTTCAGCAGTGTCAGAGGCATGGGCCTGTGCACTGTTCCCACGGCTCTGGGCGATTCTCGGCTGGCGTTGCGTGCATGAACAGTGAGTAATGGATGGGTAGGTGGCAGGGTCAGGGAGCAGACGTAAGAGCTCCACCACTCTCCAGCTGGGAGGCTGAGCTGTCTGTCACTGCCAGATGCAAAGCCTGTCCTGCCCACCTCCCGAATAGAGTTATTGTGAGAATTGAGAAAAGCACAAGGATCTAGAAGAAGGCTTTGCAACTTGAAGACTGTGAGCAACAGTTTTAAAAGAAACAGAATAGAAAACGTGGCAGTCTATTGTATTTAGCAAGGGTAATGGTTTTTCTCAGAGCTGCATGTGTGCTGAGATACAACACAGAATGAATTTGTTATTGTTTGTGGGGAATACTTTGAGATACACTGTGGAGGACACACAGATGTGAAGCACACCGGAGCCTAAGGCCAAGCTGTGGCGTTTACCCAAAAGACTTGAGGACATGACTGGTTTGTGGCAAGAGTTTGCCCCACAGACCCAGATTCTCAGGGTGGCAGCATCTGTTTGACATTGACCAGCAAGGCCTGAGCCAAGATAATTACATCCAGTCCAAAGGCTGCAGGCTGGCACCAACCCCAGAGGCCACTTGACCTTCTTCTCAGCCACTCTCCAACTTGTCAGGGAGCACTCTGTGTAGCACACCCTGAGGAGAGCCCTGGGCCACCCTTCTTACCCTCCCCTGAAGAGGGACAGGATGTCAGTGGTGCCCTCTGCAACCAGGCCTCACAGCATGCTGGTTGCTTGGCAACCCTGGACTTTAACCATCTCCAGTGCAGCTGTCATAATGCACATTTGGTGCCAACAGACAGGCAGGTAGCTGAGCAGCAGGCTGTCTGTACCCACCTCTCTCTTGACTTGCCTCACATTTCTTGTTTTCCCCCTCATTCTCTCTGCAAGCTCTCCTTTCCTTTAGGAGCTCAGGTCTGTCTCTGGCCATATCCTGGCTCTCTCCAACAGAAGCCACAGGAATCTCAAGTGGGTGTTTAGTGACATAAGAGGCATTGTGTAGCACAGTGCACTCCAAACCCAGCCAGTGAAACAAGCCAGTGTTCCCATCCATTCTCATCGGCACACATACCTAACAGCAGACCTAGACCCCAAATGCCTGTGAGGAAGGCCCCCTTCTTTTGAGGTTATGTGGCAACAGCAATGAATTGCCACATACCAGTACTGATGCCTGAGGGACAGCAATGGTAGAGGCTTCAGAAGAGAGTCCTTAAAGGAGAGGAAAGAGGCTGGACTGACAATGAGACTTAGGCACACTGGATTAAAAAAACTGTTGTTGTTGTTGTTGTTGTTGTTGTTGTTGTTGTGTGTATGTAATTTTTTGGGAGTCAGGTCTCTCCTTCCACTTGGAATTCAAGAGTTGAACTGAAGTCACCAGGTTTGCATAGCATGTACTTCCCCCTGCTGGTCCACCTTGCTGACCTCAGGTTGGGCTTCTGCATGCAGAGGCGTGCACACTGGAGACAGCCTGGATGTCCAAGGGTTGAATACATGGGACACTGTGGAAGTGCGTAGGCTAGAACAGACCATCCAGAGGGAGCAGGGCCCCAAGCTCAGTGGACTGAACAGCACAGTCGAGGGGCAGGCTCCACAACTGAGTCCTTCCATTTTCCCTTCCTGTCCTCTCCCTCCAGCTCAACAGACACTCAGAGACTGAGGCCCAGGGAAAGGCAGAGGCTTGGCTGAAATCACCAAGTTAGGTATTAGCAAAGCCTTAGAGAGGTTTTTTTCTTCACTAAGCTACACAAAGGCCCTTTGTAAAAAAAAAAAAATCATTTTACAAAAGAAAAAGAAATATAGCTTATATCCATTTCCTGTTTACTACAGGCCAGACAATGCTCTAAGCATATTACAGATACTGCTTATTAATATCACCAATATGATTCTCACCTCGTAGATGACAAAATATGAGGCACAAAAACATTACACAGTCACAGTGCTAGGACAGTGAGCTCCAGCTTAGAATGAATGCTGGCTCCAAACTTAACCGTGACAACCGAGCTGCCTCCCAGGTGGAAGCAACAGGCTGCTCCCCGTTCCTGGACTCACATCTTCTCACACAGTTGCCCTTCTTGTGTTCTTTTGGTAGTCTGGGAGCAAGCCTGCGTTTACACTGGAGAACAGGCACTGGCTTCTCAGCCCTGCCTCCCTCCCACATTGTCCTCTGCCCCCAGGTGCTCCAGACCTTGTGATGAATGCCCAGCTGGTACAAGAGACGGCCTACTTGGAGGACCGTCCACTCAGCATGCTGTACTGTGCTCATGAGGAAAATTGCCTCTCCAAGTCTGCTGACCACATGGACTGGCCCTACGGACACCGGCGCTTGCTGCGCTTCTCCTCACAGATCTACAACCTTGGCCGGGCCGACTTCCGCCCCAAGGCTGGGCGTCACAGCTGGATTTGGCACCAGTGCCACAGGTTGGTAACCGCTCACACTTGGCTCAAGAGGATTAGGGACTAAACAGTTAGGTTTCCCCTGGCCTGAGGCAAACTCTTGGTTAAGTCTGCCTTTCTAGTCACTTGGCTGGGCTTGCCCCCAGGAGACAAGGATCCCTAGAGCAACTACCTGTGCCCTGCAATGTCCATCTATCTCCCTTGGATACACCCTTGTGGGTGGTGCTTATGGGGCCAATTGCGCATGATTGCCAGTGGTTGGTCTCTGCTAGCATGGTATTACACACTTTTCCTATATCGGACAGGGTAACCCCTATCAAGTAAAGTGGGGACTCTAGAAATGTGGAAACACAAAACACAGTGCTTGCTCAGCAGAAAAGGTTGGCAGCTTCCTGCAGCAACAAGGCGAAGCAGGGAACGGCAGGGAACCGACTGGTATGGAAGCAGACAGTGAGCATCCTTTCTTACAACGAACCTGCAGACCAGAAAGGAGAGGCAATGCCTGTGACGGAGGCAGAGTGCAAGGGGAAATGTCCTATTTTCTTTCAGGACATAGCTGTGTAGGGAAAGCTGAGAGGAATGGGCAGCGATTTGAGGACTTGGCCTTGCCTGAGTTAATAAGCACCTTTTCCTGTAGCATGCACAGAGCTGTCATTACCACTGGATTGGAAAATATGGTAGCAATTTGGTCCCAGGCTGATGGAGCACAATAAACTCTCTCCCCACCTTCTTCACTACTTAGGCCATCTCTGGGCCAATGTCCCCCCCCCCCCCACCTCTGCCTTGGATCCTGCAGCCAAGGTCCCAGCCTTCTGAAGGCTACCAGGGGCAACTTGTACCTCTTCTACCTGAATTAAGACTCCAAGTTAAGGGGACAACTGTGCCTTGCTGCCTGGCAGGGATGCCAGCAAAGAAGTCTGTGACCATGCTCATCTTGGATTTAGGAGGAAGGGCGGGCACTGACCTGAGATTACAGCTTTCCCCTGTGGGTAATGATGGGCCTCAGCCTTCCCTGCTAACCTCTCCTGATGACCTGCTCCTATTGCTGTAAAGCTGACAGCTCTCCGTCTTCCTCAGGCACTACCACAGCATCGAGGTCTTCACCCATTATGATCTGCTCACGCTCAATGGCTCCAAAGTGGCTGAGGGGCACAAGGCCAGCTTCTGTCTCGAAGATACAAACTGCCCCTCAGGTTCGTGGGTTCCTATTTATGTAGCCTCCTGATGTGCTTGAACGGATTTCTCAAGTACCTTTGGGGCCAAGCTCCCCTCTTCCCTGTCCAATAGCCCCAGGCTCCTGAAGATTCTAGCTTGGCAATAGTGCTCAAGGCAATTCCAAACGTCAATTTCTGGCTTCCAAAAACAGGTGGAAAGTCCTCATTTCCTCTCAATTCCACCACTTTGTACCACCTTAAAAAGGCTTAACACTTTCAGCAGCTCTTGGAGGGCAGGGAATGTGTTTCCTACTTGTACCCCTTAAATGAAAACCAGATCTCCCGAGGACTGGTGGACAGAAGTAGCACAGAGGGGCTAGAATCTCCACCCACAGTTCTTAGGCCAACAGGGACCTTTACTAGAGCATACAAAGTAACAGTCTATGTCACGAATGTTGTTTGCCCAGGCTAAATTCAGCTAGCAAGAATTCTGTACTCAGGCAAGTTTTAACTGAGCCCATGGACTGGGCAGAAGTGCAGAGCTGGTACAGCCAGTTTGATATTAACTGATGAAGTCGGTGAGCGACCACAAAGTCCCTGGGCACGTGTGTCTTCTTGGTGCCATGGTAATTGTGTACTGTCCTTTACAGGAATGCAGCGGCGCTATGCATGTGCCAACTTTGGGGAACAGGGAGTGTCTGTAGGCTGCTGGGACACCTACCGGCATGACATCGATTGCCAGTGGGTGGATATCACAGATGTGGGCCCAGGGGACTATATCTTCCAGGTAAGAATGATTCTCTGGCAGTTGCAGAAGCTCTGGGCACTAAAGAAAACTGTTTTCCCATGGGATCCAACAGACCTATATCCTTTTTAAGAGCTGTGTTGTAGGGGAAGAGCCCAAAGGGGACCTCAAGGCTCTGGGTTTGAGTCCTGATTCAGTGGACACTGGGCAATTCTTAGTCTTCATCTGTACATCTGTGAGGAGGGCCACTGATGCCTACTTCCTGGGGGTGACTAAGGATCAGCAAATCGGGGCTTACAAAGACCATTTTGTAGAATACTAGGCAAGATGTAAAGGACTCCACATGTCAACTCACTCAGCAACGACATCACCCACTTTAATGTTCCCTTCACTGCAGGTGGTTGTGAACCCCACAAACGATGTGGCAGAGTCAGATTTCTCCAACAACATGATACGATGCCGCTGCAAGTATGATGGGCAGCGAGTCTGGCTACACAACTGCCACACAGGTAATGTGGCCATGGTGACACCAGCCTTGTATAGCTGATGGGGCTGGGAAACTTGAAGAGGTATACCCGAGTGTGACTCGTGTGTCTCAGATGGTGTATACAGATGGCTTATGGGTAGGATGACACTGGTCATCAACCTCCCCACCTCCTCCCCACCTAGCAACTACATTCCTTCATGACTGACTGACTAGTCTCCAGTCTCAGAATCTTTCCTGTCCTCTCAAGCCACACCAAGATTTTTTTTTTACCCTGAGTATGGTAGTGCAAGTCTTTAATCCTGGCACTTGGGGAGAGACAGGCAGATCTCTTGTTTGAGGCCAGTACAGCCAGAGCTATGTAGAGGAACCCTGTCTCAACACACACACGCGCGTGTGCGCGCGCGCGCACACACACACACACAGTTTTCCTATCCATACTTGTCCCATTTCCTGTAATTTTCCAGAACTGCTTTCTTCCCAGGAAAAAGTTCTCCTTGATCTCTGCTACAAACAGCAGCAGAGAGGACTGTAGCATCAGACAGGCACGGGAAGGAGGGAGCTGTTTTCTGTATAAAATCCCTCCATCTCACAGTTGAATGGTGCCTGGACCTGCTAAGGTCTATGTATTTAAGGTGTAGGGCAGGGCTGGCCTGTCAATGTGTTTGAAGACCCTATTGATCAACCATATTGATCACATAGGATACAGGAAGTTGGTGCTGTAGAGGATGTACAGGCATATAAACAGAAAACTCGATCTTGGTGAATACCGGCTAAGGGTGTAAAGTAAACTGGGAGCCAGCAAAGAGAGAGTGGATGAGGTATCAGAGGAAGTGGTACTTTAGCAGGGCTTTGAAAGACACAGAGGGAAGACAGAGTATCCTGTGGGCTGTCATCTAACGCTCACCAACCACTCTCTAACCTAAGACAGTGAGGGAAATCTCAATCTGAGTTTTTTTTCTTTTTTAAGATTTCTTTTTTAATTGTGTGTGCATGTGAAGGTATGTGCACAAGTGTTTAAGTGTCCATGGAGCTCAGAGGCACTGGATTCCACTGAACTGGAGTTATGGCCACTGTAAGCCCCACAGTGTGGGGCCCTTAAGAGCAGTGTACATACTGAACTGCTCAGCCATCACTCCAGCCTCAAGGTTTTTTTTAATTAATATTTTCTGTTCTTGGAAACAGGTATGTGCAGTTCAGCTGGCCTTCAACTTGGGCAGTCCTCTGCCTCAGCCTCTGAGTACAGAGATTACTGAGTACAGGCATGTACCAGCATGTCTGGGTAGTTTCCTTTTGTGAAAGTGGACTGAGAGCTTCTAGATCACTGAGGAGCTTTCCAGGGAGGGGGAGGGGCTATGGGAGGCCTGGGTTTTGACAGAAAATCACTCCCTGGTCTCCATCTCTGAAGCAAAGACACTGACAAAATTTCAGTCAAGATGCAAAGTTTGTTTTTATATTTCGCCTGTGGTACTGGGCTCATACATGCAGGGCCTTCCACAGGCTGGGCAGGCACCCTGTCACTGAGCTATATCCCTAGCCTTATTTGTTTTAAAAATAAACTCTGCCAGCAAATGGGAGAAAATGAGAAGGAACGTTTAAGTTTCACATCTGGGTGACTGAGTAGACTGTGCTGACACAGAGCGAAACAAAAAATGTGAGAGGAATGGGGACTTTGCTCATGGAGATGACGGAGCCTTCATAACCAGACTGCTAGGGACCCACAAAGATAGCACCAGAGCCCTTCCACACATGGTAGGACTCACTGCAATGCACCTGAGTTCAGGGATAAAGGAATGGGAAGCTACTGTCCCTGTAAGCTTGCAGGGGAAGGGACATCTAGGGGCCAGGAGACAGCCAGCACCATGACAGAGGATGAAGCTGGATGGAGCGGCAGTCACCGACAATCCTTGCCACTGTAGAGCCTCCTGTTGCTGTTATCAGGGGGAAGCCAGGGGACAAGGCAGGTAGGGAGGCCACACAGAAAGAACCTGGGAAGGGAACAAAGCAGAACCAGTAGAGCCCTTTCCACACAACAGACTGTGTGCCTATGACTGCCCCAATGGAAAGGGGCTGTGGTAGGTTTGTCCACTTAACCATTTTGCTTTGGCCCACAGGAGATTCCTACCGACCCAATGCAGAGCTCTCCCTGGAGCAGGAACAGCGACTCAGGAACAACTTGATCTGAAGCCACTGTTGTACTCCCAGCTCTGCTTACACATCAGATACCTCAGCTTACTGGAGCCACGCCCTTCACAAAGCCCTGACTCACAGAACAAGGGGCGAGTGACAAGGAGCACCTAGAAGCTGCTCAGGAAGCCTTTCAGTGGCCAGATCATCAAGATAGCAGTACTCTCAGGATGGCTTGAGGCCCCTCCAGAGCACCTACGGCCTATAACAGGGTCTTGAGGCTCTGGCCAGCTAAACCTTCTCTTCCTCAAGGAGACTCAATCTTCTCTACAACTTGATGCACAGTTCCCAGTTTCAGGAGCTCTAAGTTCCTCAGGGATGAACTGTGACCAAGGCCCCCAATCTAAGTGGTGCTTTGCAAATGTCTTGGAGGACAAAGGACCAGAGAACACAAGAAGTGGATGGAGCCAGTTCTCTCTGCTATATGCTCCATGCAAAATAACGTGCCGAAGTCACAGCTGGCAGAGAAGCTGGTGAATGGGCCTCGGTATATCCTCTCTTAGAACTCGAATCTCAGGCTCTGAAGCCTCTCCTTGGCATCTTTACCTTTATTCTGTCACACACACACACACACCCACACACACCCACACCCACACCCACACACACACACACACACACACACACACACACACACACACACACACGAGTATTTCTAATACCCCTGAAGCCTCAGGCCTCCTCCATTTCCTGATGGATCAACACCCTAATTACTGGGGCTGGGGGGCAGGTTACACAGAATGACAAGATAGGGCCTTTTCTGCAGAGTAGTGAGAAACCACAAGACAGCTGAGGTCACATAAATTCAGCCTCCAAGGACCTCGGCCAGTGGAGACAGCAGGATGCCCATATCAGGCAGGCAGCAGTCTAGTCTCTTAGAAATCACCTACATTGTAGGGTTAGCCAAAATTTCAGATTTAAACAAGGTTACTTCACCTTAAACAAACTTGAGAAGAAATAGGTCAATCAAGCCCCTCTGCAGGAACATGAACACAGGCCTGGTAGAGTCAGGAACAGAAGACTGAGCTAACAAGAAGCAAGAACACTTAAGTTAGTCCAGGACCAAACCTGGGAAAGGCCACCATCCACAGGTGAGGTGGCTGTGCTCTACTCTTGCTCAGGTGGTGTAAGACCTGGGTTCTTCTTGGGCATGTCTGGACCTTTTCTCCACTGACATACACAGATGATCCTTCTAGGTCTTACAATGCCAATAAAGGCTGCTCACTATGGGCTGCTGCAAAGACCCGACCAGCTGAGCTTCCGTAGCGTCCAGTGCATTGCACTCTGCCCTCTTCCCTCCAGAGCTGGGTGATGCACACAACACATTCCTTGGGACAGCCCACCCTGTCCCAAGGGTGCATCTCGAGTCACTCACTAACCTACTTTGAAGTTACACTGCTCAAGGTCAAAACTGAACCTTGGGTCAGGAAGGCTGAGAGGTGAAAGGGAGGAATGAGAAGGTGCAACCAAAGACTGTAGACTTTAAATAGAGGCTAAAAGTCAAAATAAATGGTAGCAGACAGAACTGATTTACAGTATTCTCCCCACAATACAAGAGATACTCTGATAGTCAAGACATGTTTTGGGGTATATTCTGTGAGCACAGAGTGCCTTTTCCTGTCTCCTCCGTTCTGTCATCTTCTTCATCTAGCACAGGAAGCCTAACAGTTGGTATAACAGTTTAAGTAAACAAGGGAAGGACTGATTTCCTGTTGGATCCAGCAAACAGTGACATTATACTCACACATGAAGCTAATGGTCTAAAAAGAATGTGCAGCCAGCCAGGGGAGGGGTGGGGTGGGGTGGTGAGTGATGACTGGATTTGGGCAGGGAGGTTACCCTCACCTTCTTGTTGGATCTAGTTTCCAAGAGGCCAGAAAAAGCAGGCCAGGCAGCCAGCCACCAGCACTGGTCTCAGCTTTCTGGCCCACATCACACGACTGGTAGGTGCAGCCAGTTCTAATTCCTGGAAAAAGCTATACAAGGGCTGTGCTGTTGAACTTCTGAGTTGAAAGGGAAAGACATGGGCAGGTTGGTGGCTGGCCTGACATAACTAGATGAGGAATGTTAACGAAATACCAACCGCCAAATTCCAGACAGAACCAAAAACCTCAGAAGACTTTTCACCTTGGCACCCTGTGTGCCTCAGAAAAGGGCTAGGAAGCTCTCCTCAGAAGCTAATGCTACAAAGACTTTCACACTATGAAGAGAAAACTAGACTCCACAGGGATGTTAACTTTCTACTAGAAATTCTACACAACCCTGAGATTTGGATGTTTACCATACACAAAACATATATGCAGAGTGGCACACATGAGACATCGTCCCCCATAGCTAACACTTATGACACAGCAGTCGCCCTGTTAAACAGTGCTCCTTATTTTAGAGGTCCGTTCCATGAGACAGTAGCAGCTACACGGTGTTCTCCCATTAACTCCTCTTATAAAAGTTCGGTTTAAATATAACCAAGGATTTGATTCTGCATGGACAAGCTTGGGCCATGGCTGGGACTTCATACCAGTGACCAGTACACAGCATCCCCAGCTACTGGAATAATGTAAGCAAAAAGCACATTTTCAATTAGAAATAAAACAGCAATGTCCCATAACTTTCAAATGTTGACTTAAAAAATCGTTCTCTAAGTAAGATAGGTTGCTAGAACACTATTGTGAGAATGAAAGAGTTGGTTTTGGAAATTATGAGACTTCTTTAAAAGCTGAGTAATAAACATTAGCAATGCCTAACAAGAAGTCCTTTCACAGGTGACAAGACTCATAGCTCTCTTCTTTTCTCTTCTTCTCTTCTCTTTTCTTTCTTTTTCTTTTCTTTCCATTCTCAAGGTCACTCCTAACCTTCAAAACTCCAGCCTCCACTCAGAGGTGAATGTTGTCTAGCACATGTATGGCCATGATCTGGTATCTAAGTTGGGGTAGGGTGTGAAAACATGGCAAGTGTGTGCCTTAAATGTGTCTCTCAGTATAAAGCCATGCTGGGGCTGGAGCAGTTAAGAACCTGGTTCTTCAAGAGGACCCAGGGACAATTCCCAACATCCATGTGGTAGCTCATAACCAACTGTAATCCCAGTCCCAGGAGATCTACCACACTCTTCAGGCCTCCAGTTACCAGGAATTCAGACATACATAAAATTAATAATAATAATATAACAGAAAATTAATAAAGGAACATGCAATACACAAAAATAAATACTATATTTATATTATATTAATAAATAATATAACATTAAAAAATAATAAAAGCCAATACTGGAATCCTTGGTATTTTCTTTCAATGTACCCACTGCTCAAACAGACCTATCAATATTAGTCTGTTCTGTAAAAACAGAGCACAGGCCCTTCAACTGGAAGCCAAAGAGATAAGCGGAAACAGAGGATCAAGAAAACAATGTATTTCCCCACATATGGAATGGTGGCACTGTACAGGGCCTCTGGAAAAGCAAACTGGAATGAAGAAACAATGTTGAAGAACTGTGACAGAGCTCCAGATGGGACTAGCAACAGGGACAGGTCAGGACTCAGATCCAAGGCCAGGTCATCGAGGGATATTTGAAGAGCCTCATTCTACTATGCTCTAGACAAAGCTAATAATCCATCATTGTCATGGGTATAAAAAGAAGCTTCTGCCCTAGTTGAAAACACAATGTGACAGCAGTTCCTGCCACTTCAGCACCTTAAAAACTAGCACTACCGCTCCTTCAGCACAGAACTACTTTCCAAAACCACCAAGAAGGCAGATGTGAGGCAGAAAAGGCCTGGGTTGGAGGCTCTAACCTGCCCATGTCCTTTGGAAACTGTTCACTGCCTAGAGGCGGTCACCACTGTGCTGGATGGTCTGGTGCTGCTTATCAAGTCCCTTTGGCACAGGCTAAGATTGTACCAAGAACATACTGTGTGCCAGATGTTTCCTGTAGGGTGTCAGATTTGACAGCTATGGAAAAATGCAAGAGTTTGGAGGGAAAATGCATGAGAAGATGAAAGCAAGAAAAGCTGCCACACAGAACTGCCATGATGGTCATTTAGGGACTATACTCAATGGGCTGATAAAAGTTAGCACCTGTTTAAACAGGCACATCATCATGAGGACTAGAGAACTCATCTACAGGTGTTTCTTTTTTCTTCTTCCGATGCTGTTGGTTTTTGGGTTGGGGGACAAGATTTATAAACACCATAATGACTTACGTTATAAAATAGCCTTTAATTTCTCCCTCTTACAACGTATTACTGATTAAAATGGAGCTGGCACTCAGCTCCCTATGACTGGTTTTTGTAAGGAAGGTAGCAGACCCCTGGCTTCTGTGCAGCTGGAGCAGTACCAAGCACCAAGCTTAGTACAAACTCAGGAGTCCAAATACCCATGTTGTGCTGTGGTTCAGTGGCTTTGGAGTTCTAGGGCAGGCAGTGTAGCCTCTGTACGCACTGAGTGCACCAGGAACTCATGTCTGTGAGCTGCTTCCACTCCCCCTTGCTGCTGTCCCTCATCATACAGCTTTAACTCTGAAGTACTAAGGAACACCCTGCCATGGACCTCAGATTCCTGTCACTGCAGGTGTGAATCCTCTGTTTTGTTTTATATTTGCTTCAGACTTCCTGGAGGTGTGACCCACACTAACATGACCTGCTCTACTAAAGACTCTTAGAAGCCACGTCTTCCATTTTCCTTCCTACATGATAGTTCCTTTTAACATCTCTACCAGAGTGGACAGGTCTGAATTCATGAGTGAGGACCAGACTCCTCGTTCTCTAAGTCTTCTGTCTTGTTCATGTTTTCTTTAACATGCTCATCTGCATGTGCACAGCTCTGGAAAGATCCTCTTGTCTCAAGAATATCAAACACTTCCTAATTCATGGATTCATTCCTTTGAATAAGTGACGTTCAAACCACAGATTGGTCTCTGCCTTCCCAGATGTCTTCCCGTTGCTTGGCTTCCAACCGTTTTCTCTCTGTAAATAAAGGCCAATGTTAATCTTAATCATATGGTTATATATTTCACACAGCCAGTGAGTCTCCTTTAATCAAATGACAAGACAAACATTACCCATGATCACCTTTCACCTGATCCCAAAGGTTAACTAACATCTTTTTAGCTTTCCAAGTGCTTTAAAGAATTGATACTACTCTTGGTTTTGTTTTTCTTTCTCTACCTTTCTCCCTTTTCTTTTTTGTCAGGCCTAGGATAAAACTCAGGGCTCCACACATTAAACACAAATTGAACCAAAAATGTTGTAGAGCAGTGGTTCTCAACCTTCCTAATGTTGCAACCCTTTAATACAGTTCCTCACGTTGTGATGACCCAATCATAAAAATTGCATCTATGCTACTTCATAACTGTAATTTTGCTACTGTTATAAATTACAATGCAAATATCTGTGTTTTTCCAATGGTCTTGAGTGACCCCTGTGAAAGGGTTGTTTGGTCTACAAAAGGGTCAACCCACAACTTGAAAACCACTGTTCTAAAGTCTCTTCCAGAAAGAAAAAATAATCACCATATAAAATGGAGGAAAACGAGTGACTAATTTTAAAGACAAAAATACACAAATTGTGCAATTCACCTTTATTTTTAATATAGAAACTTGTTTTTCAGTTTCATTAAAAAGTACATATATGCTAGCTGAGAACAATGGTACATGTTTGTAGGCCCAGCCACCTAAAAACCTAAAGCAGGGGGTCACTTTAGCCCAGGAGCTCCAGGTGTCTAGGTAACGGAGCTAAATAGTCTCCCACTATAACACACACAGCTGTGTGCTCCAAACAGTTTCTTTTGTGCACAATACCAGTTCTAACTTTATAGCTGACAGCCATTCACCCTAATACCAGAAAAATACATATTATAAGCCTTAAGTCTTTCTTTTTAAGAGTTCTTATTCCAGACTGGCAATGTCTATAAAAGAGTCTTCAAATCATAAACCAGGTGGATTACAGAAATCAACGTGAGTTTAGAAATTAACACTTACAATCTCAACCTATCTTCTAAATCATGAAAATCACTTACAAAATCTGAACTACACTTGACTGCACTTTAAGGGGACAGAAGCTGGCTGGGTGTGAGAGAGAAATTCCTTGCTATTTGGGCACCATCTTGTGGCATCATCTGAATATAGCAACAAAGTTACACAAGACAAGAAATGAGGCTCAACAAATCACAAACTGAAGGCTGATTAATACTACGCCCAAGGATTCAGCTGCAGAGGGGGCAGGCTTGGGTTGGCGGAGGTTCTCCATGAGCAATGCCAAGGATAATGGACTTATCCAAAGTTTGGCAGGATTTCCTAGGAAGTAGCATGGTTCTGAGTCTTAAAAAGAGACAAGTTAGGAAAGATTTAAATGCAAAGCAGCCGTGGATGAAATAAATAAAAAACTGGTTGTGAATCCCAAGGAAAAACAAAGGAATCAGAAGAATTACTTACTAGAACTCAAAATTTTCATTAAGATAGCAAACAAATCAGAAAGATTATTCATAAACAACAGAAAAATATGACCGACCTATAATTCATAGGTCCAAAATCAAAACAGTTCTGAAAATAAAGTTTTTGTTCTTAAAGTTTGGGTCAAAATTCATTTTTGGAAGCAAACCTAACCCAGCATGAGGCTGTTTGGTCTCTGTATTGTTTACTTACTGTGACTCGTTACATACTTTGCTTAAGGAACATCAGTGTTAATGTGTGTGCTTCTGCTATTATAAGATATATAATACAGCATCTCTGTAAAGTCAATTTTTAAATATGTCTAGTGTTAAATCCTTGCTAACAAAAGTCCCCTAACTCCTAACTCTTGCCTGAGCGTGTGTGTGTGTGTGTGTGTGTGTGTAAATTCTGGTGGTAAAACATGAAAACAATTGAGAAGCACAAGAAATAGTAAAAGTATGAAGCATATGAAACACAGAGAATATGGGTCAAGCGGGTCTTAGAAGTGGCCCCTCTGAGACAGGGAACTTGCGTGACTTGCTAAGGCTCAATTATCAGGAAGAACTGAGGCTGAGACCCAGTTGTTATTTGTAAGTGGCATACTTCCCACTATACTGGCATCTGAAAATATCACAAGAAAAGGAAAAGCATGTGAAAAATTAACTGAAAGAAATATGTCCCTCTATCAAAAGAAGGTATTACATGACTGGCTGCATGAAAAAAAGCTGTCATTAACACCACCTCCATTAAACATAAAAAGTAAAGCGAGCAAGCAGCCCACTGCAGCGGTAGGACAAGGGAACAGAAGAGAACAGAACATTGGAAGGAGATGGCTAACCCGAGCTCTTCCATAAACTGCTCTGAAGACACCACTTCCAGTGTGAAAGTGCAGACAGAAATGCCTACTGAGCTAGCTGACTGAGTGCAAGTCAGGGAGCTTCAGCTGCTACTTCTGGCTGAGGGAAGAGAGATGCTGAAGACTGAGAAGGGAACACTCCAGGGCCATGCTTTATTTGACAAGAAAGGGGAAGGAAAGAGAAGGGCTGCAAATTAAAGGCTTTCAAAATTTACTTGGGCACTTAAAAAATGATCACAAAGCCCATTTGTCGCCACCTACAGAGTAATAATCAGCAGGCTTTGTGAAGAACAAGCCTGGGCAAATTTAATTGCCTTCCTTTATTCCCTGACAGACTTGGTAGATCAAGAGAAAGGAGTAGTATAAGCAAACTCTTAATTGTAGCAAGGCTTTAGACAAAGTTTATCAAGTATTTATATGCTCATCAGTGTTCTAGGGAAATGCAATACAGATCTCATCAGGACCTATTTAACTGGAGAATGATCTGCAATGTATAAGCACAAGAAACCACGTGCTGTTTATTTTAGCAACACTTAAAGTGGTCAGTGAGTCCTAGTGCTGACATCTTTGCCTCTGATTTAGAAGCAACCAAGGAGAGAGAGAGAGAGAGAGAGAGAGAAAGAGAGAGAAGGGGGGGAGGGAGAGAGGGAGGGAAGGAGGGAGGGAGACAGAGACAGAGAGAGACAGAGAAGAGAGAGAGACAGAGAGAGAGGGGAGAGATTATATTTCTGCAAAAATTTTTTCATATATTTATATGGTTATAAATGAAGTGAATTTCAGGTAATAGGCAGAAAAGAAAACATGAAAATACCCTGAAAATCTGATTATGGTCAGTAATACAGCACTGCAGAATAATGGAATGTACAAGAATGTTTTCCAGAGTTAGCTACCATGGGTAAGTCTGTTTTATTACAAAAGAGCAAATATTGTCCAGAGATGACTCTAAGTTTGCTGTGATTTAATTAATCAAACTAAATGATTAAATTATTTACTTCCTCTGCTCTAAGACCTATGAACCAAATGCTGGCCTTTTAGAACCAGCCAATTAATCACCTACTCCTAAGAATGAAATGAAATTATGAAATAAAATTATAGCAGACTTTGAAGATGAGAGAGCAGCTTATTCTGAGAAACAATGACACATTTTCTAATTTTAGTCAGCAATCAAGTATTTGGAATAGAGAACACAGGAAAATGTCCCAGATATTCCTGCATTGATCCTTTACTTATATGGTTTCATCATTCAGCATGAGTCACTGGCTGAAAACACCAGATTAAATACAATCCAGGGCACTCACAGATGCTCTGTGCTCCACTTCCCACTCTCAGTACAGCTCTCATCTGTTGCGAACTCTCCTGGACCAAAAGAGACTCTGCCCATGCTCAAAACAATGCATTAAAGGTTTTTATCTCTTGATACACACAGTGTGATGTGCTTTAAGTGACCTGGCACTTCCTTCTCCCCAGCTCTTTCAGCTTTAGTGAGTCTCCCTTAAAGGACTAAGGTATAAGCTGTTCCACTAAAAGGTGAAGAGAATCCAAGTAGGATAGAAAATTCTACCAGAGAAACTCAAATGATTAGGACGTTCAACTCTTTCAGGGCAGGGTGGAGAAAGTTCAGAGTAAAATACTAACGTTTATGAAGAAAAACCAAAGTAATCAATATCACTGATATAGAGAGACAATGAGCACATGTCATGTATCTTTTTTTGTCCTCAATACACTAGCAGTCAATAGAATTCTTCATGGAGGACAAAGAAGGGTTAGATTATTACACAACTAATGAAAGGATCTATAACAGAATAGCGTATAGATTTCGGTCCATGCTAATTCTAATCAACTGGCAACAGGCATGTCAGTACCTGCCAAAGGAGAAGCCATGACTGATCAGGACCATCTGTTATGTGTAACGGAAGAGCAGCAATACATAATATATTCTTGTCAATACTTATGTCATATTACAACACAGAAAACAAAATGGTATCTTGAATTTGTAAAGAACCTTTTCAACATTAAATTATGTTGTACTCAAAACCTCTCCATGGTTAGGTAGGACAAGCATTACTAGCTGAAAAGAGGTCAGACCTCCAAGCCACACAGCTAGTTAAATGGCACCAGCCCTACTACAGCCCAGGTTTCTGTATTCCCTTAGTGATCTGCCCTTGGTCATTACAGTAAAGAGCTGATAGTAAAGAACGATGTCCAGATGTCCGGATTCCTACTAAGGAAAAACGAAGGAGAAACAGGTTTAAACCATCATACAGATTTATATCAAACCAAAGAAAATTTTCTGTCAGTTAAAGCTGCTAGCTAATCTTTGGTATCTATAACTAAAAGAACCCTATTATAGCGCATTCTCTGGGGACGTCAAAGGCTTATTTATAAAAGTAATATTTTCCCGAGGGGGGAAATGGCAATTACCCCCAAACCTTTCAAAAGGGTAGAAAAAAATGAGTTTTAATTAGAAAAGCCTACATTCAAATCCCCTTCTCATTTTCCTAGGTAGTAACCTCTGACTGTTACTTAACTTCATGGGGCCAGCAAGAAACTGAAGACAGTGTCTTGCATCAGAGGTTTGAAGCCAACACCATCTGAATTTGTACTTGGGAGTCTCCTTCCAGTGCCTTCATCAATGCAGCCCTTGCATCCATGTCTTATACTAGAAAGCGTCAGAAATCAAACAAGAGCAGCAGCAGCAGGGTACCGCTTAGTGACAGAGGGCTTGCCTTGCACTGGCCCTGCATCTAATCCTAACACCACATAGACAGAAAGAGACAGAGAACAGTGACAGAGTACAGGAAAAGCCATTGCTTAAAGAATCTAAAATCCCTGTTTTGAGCCTTGCTTAGTGCATACAGTCACCCCTGGACTGGTTTTAAGAAGAGGAACAAAACACATTGAAGTGAGAACCTAGACTCCATACAACTCCATGAGATTGCTTAATCCCAAAGGATGCTAGTAAAAGAAATTCCCCATCTTCATTTTCTCAGACACAGAAGAGCAGTAATCTAGAATGATAGAATGGTCTTCTGTAATCCAAGCATTAATAGATACAGAGAACCTACCCAGCTGGTCTCTTAATTACAACCCAAAGCCTCCTGAACTCCAGTTACCAGAGGAGCTCAGAAGCTGAGGCACAATGATTACAAATTTAAGTTCAGCACAGGTAAACAATCACCTCAGATAAACAAACAAACAATGAAATACTTTTCATTTTAAAAAGCAACAGAGAAGTTAGCATGGTGGCTCAGATCTAGAATCCCAGCACCCCAGAGTCTGATGTAGGCCTGCTCTAAGTTCAAAGGCAACCAAGGCTACTCAGTAAGTTCTAAACCATTCAGGGCAACAAAGTTAACTGTTTCAAAAACAAACAAAAGTCACTGAATCAAGAGTCTCAATTTTAAACTGCACCACATAAATGTCTTTTGGATAGTAAAGGATTTAAAACAAATAGCTCAAGAGAAGCAGCATGCTGACGTGCCTGCCGAGATGAGAGAACACTCAGATGACCTCATCTGAGAAAATCAACAGCTGCAGTATTTGTAGAGATACAGGTGATTTACACTTACAAGAAAGGCATGGTATACAGCAATAGGAGTCAGCATATCCTTAGATACCTCCGTCACTACCCCCCACTCATCCTTTTTGGTTTGCTTTTGTTCAGTGCTGGAACTGAGCCCAAGGCCTTAGGGCATGCTAAGCAAATCCTTGACAACTGAGCAACATCCCCAGGCTCCTTTATTCACCCTCTGAGATAACTGTAGTTAGCATCCAGGAGTCACTTTCTTCAGGGATAACCAATACAAGGATACTGCATATTCTTTGATCCAGTTCTGTTATTTACCATCTATAAATGCAAGGACAACCCTTTCCTTTTTCTGTCTTCTATAAGAAACCTTTGGATAAACAATGCATCAGAAAACAGAACTGCCTTATTATCGTCATTAAGGTAAATTAGTTGGGTTCCCTTCTGAAACTCTAATCCCTGCCATGATGTTCTCACTCACTGGTTATCTGGCCGGTGCAGCTGAGAGTCCGAAAGCCGCCTGCTATCACCAAAGCATAGTGGACACAAGTATTAATGGCCTTGTTAGACTGGCAATAAACAAGTAGTGTGAAATGTCAATTGGTTTAAAGAAAAAATGAAGTCACTTTTTTGGTAAGTGAAATTTTCAGAATTGTTTTTTTACTGATTCTATAGATCTTGGGTGATGGCAAAGAACTTGTCTAAAGCTTGAAGGCTGTTTAAGAAATACTTCTGTGTCAAGCCTGAGTCCAAGTTTTTACCTAGAATTCAAAAGCCTATAAAGAAAAGATGTATTTTAAGCTTAACACCAAACTATAAGAAAAGTCCTGCTTATGGATCTGTGGGAATATTTTCTGAGAACTTGTGGGTTTTAGAAAGTCATCAGAAGACAGGTGAATCTACTCCAGACTGTCTTAAGAAGACAAAATTCCTCTTATGGTTATTATCATCAATATCAGTTGCTGTCTCTATCCTAACTTACCTTCTACCAAAAAGACCTATGCCATCTGATTACACCATGGCACTGTCATTGTGGTCATGGACCAGTAAAAGCACAGTAAACAAGGTCTGAGAAACTGAAGTCTTCAGAGGAAACATTTTTTCTTTTTTCTTTTTTTAGTTTGGAACAGACTGTAGAACAGCCAGGAATGAGTTGAGAAAGCAGAGCCTATCTCTCAGTACCAGTGAATTAACTAGATACCTTGTGTAAACAAGAGACAAATCCTTAAAGTAAGGTTTGAAAACACCGTGTATACATCTGAGAGGCTTCTTGAAGATGGAATGCACGTTATTCTTTCCCTTTTCCTTTTTCAACACATGCCTCATAGTGAAGCCCTTGTGGACCAGACCCGAGGACACCAGCCAACTCACCTCGGGCTTCTTGCAGTTTCCTGAGCTCTGCTTCCCGTTCAGTTTTGCTCTGTTTGCTTCGAACCCCAAGGGCACTGATGACGAGCCTTCTGGCTAAGGCTGCTGAAGTCTCAGGTCGTTCCTTTGCTGGCTGGAGAAACTCTGAGGGAAAAAAAGGAGTAAGAGATAGTGAGGAAGAGAAGCCACTACAGCTCCAAGTGATTTAACTCAGTAATTAACACACAAAACAGACTAACAAGGGCAGTACCAGCAGTAATTAATACAGCCCTGATAGATGATGATCCAAGGAAATTAGCACAGCAGAGCACAGACAACCCTGGGCTCCGTTATCTGCAGTAACACAATTTCTTACAGTAACTCTAGCAAACAACTGCATCAGGTAAATTAGGCAGTGGTGTCGTCAGAATCTGGTTACTGAACTGCTTGTCTTTAGCCAGTCCAACTGGCTATTTCCAGCAAGCTCTTTTTCTTTTTATCCTTAAAAACACATCAATAGAAGTATTAACATAGAAACACAATGTCTATAGACCTCTGGATTGTGAGACACTGCTGAAACACATAGTAACATCAGCATCAGTAAGGAGCAAAGGCAGAGGCTACAGGCTCACCAGCACAAGCTCTAGCTTTGGCCTTGGCCGCTCTGGTGGCCTGTGACAAGGGCCGGATCTTCACCATGGTATGTTTAATACCCAGGGCATCTCGGGCTGCAAGGAAGAACAGATGTAAGGAAGTGAAGTCATGCACATGAAAATTTAGGGCTATTTCTTATAAAACATTTATTCCCAGATGTTATGTTTGTTGGTTTTCATGGCAAGAAAAAAAATCATAAAATATAGAAAATCTGTAAACAGTAAGTAGGGTAATGATTTCTTTAGAACAAGGATCAAAACAAACTCAGCCACTGGGCTTTCTGTTTCTGTAAATAAAACTGTATGAAACAGAGCCATGTTCATTTGCAAACTGTGGCTACTTTCTTGCTACAATAATCCAGTTAGGTAAGGATAGAAGCTTTTTGCTCCACAAAGCCAAAAAAAAAAAAATGTATGTGGCCCATGCAAATTCATGCTCTAAAGACAGTTCAGACAGGAACTCAATCTAGCACTCTGACTGCTGTGGATTCCTCTGCATAAGCTCTATCATGAGTCCAGGGTATGCCTGTGTATAGAAGACCAACCATATATTCAGAGAGTAGCTATTACAGTAGATTGATATAGAATTCTATTTCTAATTCATTTATCTGAAAGAAAAAAAATAAATAGTGTAAAATTTATTCTCACTTTGGTCTTTATCATGTCTGACATTTAAGTGTGCAAATGGCCCGGGAGGAAGTGTCTACCTTCCAAATACCAGATGTTGGATTAAAGAGAAGAGGGAGAGAACATGTGGGTACCAGGCCACATGCCTCAAAAGCCAGTGTTTATTCTACTACAGATACTGGCTGAGCAAAGTTCTTGGCTGGAATAGAAGGGGAATTAAAACAAATAGTGGGAGAAAATAAACAAAAGGGACCTGGAATTCCTGAGAGTCACTAGACATATACCTGTGATTGGACTGGAGAAAACTCCTAAGGCATGTGTATCATCTACCCATTTAATATCAAATCCTTTCTTTCTGTAACAAAAGAAAACAACTTTTACATTTCTTAAAATTTATTTTATGAAATGTCTTCAAAATAATTTTACAAAGCATTTCATAAGATAGAGGAATGGGGATAGTGACATAGAAACAGCTTGACACATGGAAGTCACTAAAATTTAAAAGCAATACCTCATAAAGAATTACCTTCGAGCATTTATTTTATAGATGCCAACTAATTAATCCTCACAAATCTGCTGGAGAGGTACAGTAGTTAATGTACTGTTTTCAAGAGATGTCCTTATGGGCAGCAAGGGAGAAGGGATGGAAAAAGGAAGCCAGGAAGAGGTATAGAAGAATACAGGAAGCCAGGCAGGGTCACCTGGACTTGACGCAAATGTTAACTATACGTGTGGAGGAGGGTGGGGGTGGGGGGGGAATACTAAATTGCTAGAGATGTAATTCAAATTGTAAAAGTAAAAAATTAACTCAAATAATGAAAACTATAACTGTACTCACTAATATTTACTATTCTTTCTTATTGTAGAAAGAAAATAAGGTATATGTCAGGGAGAATAGAAATAACTCTAGCTAGCCAAAATAATTCAAGAAAAAGGAAATCACAGTAAAAGAAATCATAATAAACATTTAATATTAGAAAAATAGCCTTTTAGTTTAGAACAGAGCTACACAGTGAGAACAAAGAATGTAAGGATGACAAAACACACACACACACACACACACACACACACACACACACGCGCGCGCATGCATGCATACACATATATATATATTTAAATTCCCTTTATACATGAATAGATTTTATTTTAATTAAATCTACCCCTCACCCCTACCCTGACTCCTAGTACTTAGAAGGTGGATGGATGCTATATCAATTTAACAAAATGACAGTTGTAGGCTCTCCCCTGGAGTAAGACCTCTCCAGACACAGTTGTCCTTAGCCATATCTACAGTAGCAGGCTGGGTAGACCTTACATCTAATCAGAAAGCTACCGGTTACCAACACTCCCCTAGTGCACATGGACTACTCCTGTACCAATGGATGGATCTGGCTGCAGGAGTCACTACTGTTCACAGGCTCACCTCTTGGTAAGATGGATGGTACTTCTCTCCGAGCAGCCTGAGCTAGCCATTGGGGAGAAAAATAGAAATGAGACTGTCCATGACAGGACAAGAACATGATAATCAGCACTAAGAAGGCAACTTTTTAGTAAACAATGCTCATTATTTTTATTATTAATAGCAATATTCACCAGGGAAATTAATATTGATATAGATGATGATGAAACATAAACTTGACTCTGGGATACAATTCAGGTATTATTCTACACTTCTGCATCATGACCTTTAAAAAATTATAAGTCACTATAAGTCACTCTTTTCCTATTCAACAACTTCCTTGACAGAAAAATAGAGGAAACTTGGAAGATGACTTAAAAAACTTGGTAAGCTGGACCATAATATAAAATGATCACAGGGTGAAGATTTGAAGTTCAACACACAGAGTCTCTGCTGCAGAGTTTGGAAAAGATGCAGAAAGACCCATAGTTAAAAGTCTTATCTTCGTCCCTGAGGTTTCACTGTTCTTCAAATCTTTTTATGAAATGGCTTTGGAGTTTATAGCAAACCCTCTCGAAGATACAGTTAGAAGGAGACAAAGCAAAGAGAAGCAAACAACTCAAAGAATTACTAACTACTTAACCTGATATGGTGGTGAATGCCTGTATAGAACCCAGTGCTGGAGAAGAGAAGACAAGAAGAGTCTGAGTACCTGGCTAGCCTGAACTGCAAAGTAAGAAACTTTCTCTAAAAAAAAAAAGCAGCAAACCTCAATAATCCTCGAGGAAATTCTAGACATGGACAAAATGATCCCCATTTTATTAATGACTGTCTAATTTCATTGATGATAATCTAAGGTAGATTTAATCTTATTGACTACTCTTAAAGATCTACTAGGAATTAATTGGATAGCATCTGACATTGGATCTTAAAAAAATCTTGAACCAATGACTTACCTATACTACACATTTACAGTAAGGTTTAGAGCATAGATTAAATATTTTCCAGAATCCATTCAACTCTGGTTTCTTTCAGTTGTCTTCCCTAACTTGAGTTTAACTGATAAAAAATTAAATAACTACTAGTTAATTTCAACTATACTAGCACTTTCCTTAAAATATTTTTCTGGGCAGTGGTGGTGCTTGCCTTTAATCCCAGCACTTAGGAGGCAGAGGCAGGTAGATCTCTGTGAGTTTGAGGCCAGCCTGCTCTACTGTTCTACAGACTGAGTTCCAGAACAGCCAGAGCTGTTACATAGAGAAATCTTGTCTCAACAAACAAATAAACAAAAATGTGGGTTTTTTTTTCTTTTTTGCCTTGAGAATAAGACATAGGCTAGATGTGATGGTAAACCCCAGCACTTCTAAAGACTGAAGCCGAGAAACAAGAGTTCAAGGCCAGGTTGGACTACCTAAATCCTATCTTAAAACAAAAACCAACTATTTTTATAAAGGTTTACTTTCTCAACCACACTCATATGTTTACATCCTGTCTATGGCTGTCATACTGAGACAGCACAGCTACCTGAAATATGAGTGTCCTTTACCAGAAAGATTTAGGAGCTATGCTCTGAAACAGAATCTTACAAATTCAATGTAAAGTTGAGATCTGGCTGAGCACGCCTATAATCTTGGCACCTGGGATATAAATAAACTGAATTTTAAGTTTAAATTTGTAGCATCAAATAGATTTGATTCATTTTTAATAGCAGGATTGAAATATTAAAGTATACCCCTTCTTGATACTGACTTTCTTCTAGACCCTGAAAATCTTTTTCTTAACACTTTCTGGACTATTTGTTCCTGAGTCTATTTTTTTCTTATAAGCTATATGTATTATGTGTACTTCTGATTCCTTTATCTTCTCCTAAAATGCACCACACTTAAACACACACCAAGAGTTAGCCTAATTGTTCTGAAGAGCACTCGTAACAAACTTGAACTCCACGCTACATCTAACAATAGGAAACTGAACGAATTATGAGCGTGAGAGGAGCGGCCGTGTCTATGGAACTGAGATGAGCCAGGAATGGTAGCTCATGTTTACAGTCCTAGCACTCTAAAGGGTCAATCGGGGAAGAATTCAAAGCCAGCTGGGATTACATGGCAACCTGTCAAAACAAAACAAACACCAGCAAAAAAATGAGTTTAATGATTTGGAAGACTAAAGGAAAGTCACTATAGAAACAAACAACAATAAAAAACAGCCATGGAACTAACTATTCACTCACAAAATCTGAAGACATGCTAAATTTTCTTGTCTTTCTTTAAATATTTGAAGCTATAAATTATAGATAAGGTAGTATATTGGTGACTTCCAAGAACTGTATAACCAACACACCAATGGCTAAAATGTCAGGGGCAGCTGGACACCACATTAAGAGCCTGGCACAATTAAACGGACATTTACATGTGTCAAAATAAAACGGTTGTGACACATAATAATTAAACAATATTAACACTCCCCATTTGACTTTTTCTGAGTGGTTGAAAAAACCAATCTGAAAACTCCTAAACTGTTAGCATCCTTGGGATGTGGCAAAGGAAAATGCCCAGATGTTTTAAGAAAAGTCCCTCTTTTTTCATAGGCCTTAATGCCCATAAATCCAAAGAAAAACATAAACTCACAGTAAAAATATAGATCAAGTCTCCCAAAAGGAAGATACAAAGAGCAAGTACTAACAAAAACTAACTGAAGTTACCAGAAACAAACTACAACTACAGGAGCTTTAGACAACAGAACCAGCCGAGATTATACAAGGGCTATGCTCAATGTACTTAAGAAATAGAAAAAAAATTGCAAACTGCAGAAATATGGAGGAAAAAAGCTGTAAAAAAATGATCAAGCAGACTTTAAAAATATTTTTTTGAAAAATTCGAGGTATTATAGAACAAACTTTTCAAATATAATAGAAATAGTTAACAACAATTAAGCATAGCTTGGAATAGATAATGTGAACTAGAATCCCAAACTGTCTCAAGGTAAAAAAGATGAGATATACAAGAGAAGTGAGAAGAAAGTTAAATGAGAAAACCTAACTCACACTCAATTTCTATCTTGGAGGAGGTAAAAAAAGACTGGGTCTGAGACAACTTTGAAGAGAAAATGTCTAAGACCTTTCCAAAATCAATAAAAGAATTAATTACTGATTTAATAATCAGATATAATCTCAATTAGGAGAAGTTTGAAAAATCTATAACATCCACATTTTTAGCAAAAATTACCAATATTGAAGTCAAAAAGAAAAATTTATAAGCATCCAGAGAGACAAGAGATTCTGAGCAAAAGTGACATGAATACTGTGAGCTAACCTCTCACCCAAAGAGAAAGCCGTAACTGCTAAGAGTAGCTTCATGTTTCTCAGAGAAAAATAACTGCCAATCTAGAATTATTATTATATATAGAATACAAATCTGTTCAAGAATGAAGGACTGGGTGCAGTTCAGTGGTAGGACATTACCTGGCATACATAAAACCAGGGCTAAACCTTTGTACCGTTAAAAAATAGTTGTAACAAGAATGAAACTGATATAAAGCTATTAAAGAAACACAACACCTAGCCAGGTAGTTGTAACACATGCCTTTAATTCCAGCACTCAGGAGGCAAAGGCAGGTGGATCTCTGTGAGTTCAAGGTCAGCCTGGACTACAGATCAAGTTTCAGGATAGTCAGGGTTCTGTTACACAGAGAAACACAGAAAAACAAAGAAACAAAAAAAATCCACACATACACGCAGAGGGGGAGGGAGAGAGAGAGAGAAGAAGAGGAGAAGAGAGAGAGAAGAGAGAGAGAAAG